CAAGTCGTACCTATAGACCAGCTTCGCCATAGTTGTGTGAATTTCCATCCAGCCAAGGCTGCGACGTTTGATGATTAGAACGTGCCTCAAACCACCATATCATTATTTGGAACTCACCTTCGTCCCATGCATGATCGTGTTCCATATGAAAACGGCTGACTTGCATCGAGGTCATCCGTTGGGTTGTCCACGAGCCACCGCTCAGGTCTGAATTCCCACGGCTCGTCAAAGTTCGAGGATGACATACTTGCCGCAAAGGTACTCGTCGAAACTGTGGTCTTGAAATGAACTTATGTAAGCTAAGAGTTCCCAAGGCAAGGAAATGTAAGTACGCACCCCGCCTGGCAAGAAATGACCATCAACCGTGCAGCCACCATTGGGTACTACACGGGGAAGGGCAAAAGGAAGCGGAGGATAGACGCGCATAGCCTCCTGCGCCACGGCTCTGAGATACTTCAATGGAGTCGCCGTCACCGCAGTGATATCCTCGTAGCTAACAAAAGCTGACCGCACCTCATCCTGTAAGCGCGCCAGAATCGCAGGGTTCTTGAGCAGGTAGTACGTCATGCAAGAAAGAGTAGTGGCTGTCGTCTCGCTGCCGGCAATGCTGGAAAAGGACTATGAGTACGTTTCATAAGGGATAACTTGGGCGACTTACACAAAGTCAGAAGAATGTGCTGCAATCTGGGCGTCCGATATTGCCGCCTCATTACGGGCTTCGATCATTTTCGTGAGGAAATCTTCTCGATCCGACTGTGAGGCCAGGCGACTACCAGAAAAGGGCCTTAGCGTTGCAACACAAAAAGACGGCGTTTGCCCATGGGATGTGTGCAGTCAAACCTTTGAACCAAATCCATGGTGTACTTTTGATGCGTGCGACTGTCTTTGAGAAGCTTGTCAATAAGGCCAGAAAACACTGTCTGGGCAATGCCGGCGAGGGCTGGAAATCTGCGAAAGCAGTCGGCGAGAGCCCCCATACGCAAGCTTTTGGTGACGATCGAAATCCAGAAGTGCTCCTTGCCCGAGTCGACACCGCCAAAGTCCTTGCCAAAAGCCAGGCTTCCAATTATATCGAAGGTGGCGAGGTTGAACCACATGACCATGTCGGTTCCTTGAGTCCCCACGTCTACCATTCCAATCTTCTCAATAAGGCGGTCGACACATTCAGCGACCATCGGTTCTTGTGACTTGAGAGACCTGTCGGAAAATGCGGTACCAAGATATCTACGCATCTCTGCGTGCTTCTTGGGATCACGCTCGCTAACGATAGACAAGGCCTCCGCGGCGAAGTTGCCCCCATCATAGAATTCACTCTTGATGAAAGGCTCAACACCCTTGCGTACACCATAGATATCCTGCCATGACGATGCCGAACTGAAGCTTAATTCGTTTGGTGCTACGCGAACGACGGGCCCTGGTACGATAAAAGAGTCAGAGCGAGCACTCCCAGAGTAGGTGTCTGCACATGGGTCATGCAACTCACCGTACTTTTCGTGTAGCTCAAGTTGACGATACGGCTGACGACCACTCATGAAGTTCCACGAATACAAAGCCTACATAAGAATGTGTGAGTACTTGCACGCGGCACAGCACAATAAGAGGGAGTGCTAGAACTTGCATTGCTAAGTGACGCCGATTTAGGGCCTGGAAACTTTCGTAAAGGATGGAACCACCATGTTGCAACTTTGTACAGAACCACGGCGACCAACGCCTACGTGAGAGCGCTTTGATTAGGGAAAAGGTTTACTGACATGGGAGCTACACAATCAGCTTACCAGGCCAGCTATCTGAGACTTCATGTTAAAATTCCCTTGAACCTCGTGGTGAAATGATCTCTAAGCTCGCAAAAGTCGACTACCCGTCCTCACACATATTGACTGCTACGCTCAACTTTCTATTTGTAGTCCGGGCATTTCTGGTTGAGGCAGATCCCGAAGGCTCACTCCGGCCGAGATCCCCACCTCGGACTTTTACTACTTTCAGCGACGGCGAGATACTGTGCTCATCCGGTCAGCGCACGGAGGTAAGGACTAGGGTGGCTATACTAGAACCAACTTTTGTTGCATAAGTGGTCATCTACCTTGAACCAATAGGCATTAAACTGCATACTGAATACAATAGTACATTGTTGATCAACTCTCAATAAGACAGGACAAAAGGTGAGAGTAGCGATAAGTCCAAGTAACCGTGAATTACGTCAAACGTTGTCATACTAGCGCCTGCTACTTCCATGAAACCCTGTGTCTGCTTTGCCCAACTGTCCGCTTTGGATGCGTACCAATTGTACCCCACTGAAGGAAACGTTCCCTAAGAGAATACTACACCGCCGTCTACGATCAAACTCTGCCCAGTGATCTGATCCGAGTCTTTTCCTGCCAGAAAACTTACCAAACCAGCGACGTCTTCAGGAGTCTGCATTTCGCCTTGATCAGCTGTCATAAGGCTTAATCGTCACCGGCCAAGACATACCTGAGGTTTCTTAGACGCAATGCGGGTCGCAACACCGTTCTCAAACGCAGCACCTTTGGGAAGTCCCATTCTAGTTGTAAGGCTAGTGTCAATGGTCTCCCACATATCAGTACGGACCATGCCCGGACAGTATGCGTTGACCGTAATGCCGTGCTGTGCCATGTCCATAGCAACAGCTTGGGTGAGCCCCCGAACAGCCCATTTACTGACGGAGTATGCTGGCGCGAAATGAGACTGCAGATTCGTCAACTTCCTTTCTGCACGTTACTAGAGTTCTGATGTGGCATACTGGTCGGTATCCTGAGATAGAACAAGCTCCGACCAACTTACCGCCTCGACCCTGCTTGATCATCTCCTGAGCTGCATATTTATAGCACAAAAAGACCCCCCGAACATTGATCTATGTCATATCAACACGTGAAATACAGAAGTCTTGGGCTAGAAACTTACAGCCTGCACTTTATCCCATTCACTGGCACTGATTTCGAGGATCGGTTTGACGAGAATCACACCAGCGTTTGCGACCATCACCTGTGGACCCACCCAGCTTAGCTCCGACTTTGACATCGGCGTATTGATTCATACTTACATCAATCCCTCCAAGCATCTCTGATGTGTTTCGAATCAAATTCACGACATCGTCTTCGTTGCTGATGTCTGCAGTAAGAACAGCAGTCCGCACACCTCCACATTGTCAGCTGACGTGGGTGGAATATGTGAGAAGCTCATATCCATGAGCTGACCTTTCAGTTCAAGCTCATATTGTAGCTCTCTCAACTTGACTTCTTGGCTAGCAAGATCGTCAATGGCTATTTGGAAACCATCTTGCGCCAGGCGCAGTGCTATGGCTCGGCCGATGCCATTAGCGGATCCCGTAACTAAAGCTGTACGAGTAGACATTGTGTTATGGAGCAACATTTCCAACTGTAACTCCTTTGAGATTAGATTCGATGTTCCACATGCCGTTTATATCCCCACAGTTATGCTAACGAAGTGATACTACTTTGGGGCGTTTGAAAATGCAGGCTCTTTAGTGCCGACAAGACCACGGTGTGCCGAGTACCGAGTGCCGGATTTCTCTCACTCTTGCTTTGGGTGCTCCTGGACGATATGATCACTGAGGAAAAAGATCAATAAATAACCACGAAAGCTTCATGGCTTCCTTGACCGTAGTATATCCAAAATTGTCCATTGGACCGGAAATACGCCACCATGCCTTTATCAAAACTTCGCGTACCGCCATCTGCTTCGACCGTCAATGTAAGGGTCATCGACTCGACATCGAAGATTAGGGTGAGCATGGAGAGCATGGTTTCACACGTCATCAAAGGTCATTCGTGGCTTTCGTGTCCTTCATACGTCTTCCTCGTCGAGCACCCACCCACTGGCCGCAAAGTCCTCTTCGATCTCGGGGTGCGCAAAGACTTCGAAAATCTTTCACCTCCTATTCAGAACTGGATGAAAGAGAGCGGTACGACGTGCAGCGTGGAGAAGGATGTGAGAGAGATCCTCGAAGAAGGCGGGGTTAAAGCAGGTGAAATCGAGAGCATCATCTGGAGCCATTGGCATTGGGATCATATCGGCGATCCGAGCAGATTTCCCACAAGCACCTCGCTGATAGTCGGCCCGGGTTTCAAGGACATTATCATGCCGGGCTACCCTACGAACCCAGGGTCCCCAGTCCTTGATTCCGATTTCGCCGGCCGCGAACTCCGTGAACTGAGCTTCGCCAAGTCAACTATCAAAGTCGGATCGTTTCCTGCCATCGACTACTTCGGTGACGGAAGCTTCTACATTCTGGACGCGCCAGGTCATACCGTTGGTCATGTTAATGCTATTGCGCGGGTGACGACCGGCCCGGATAGCTTCATCCTCATGGGCGGCGACACCTGTCACCATAGCGCCGAGATGAGGCCATCCGCATACAATCCGCTGCCCGACTCGATATCGCCACATCCGTTTCATTCGGGCAATGTGACTCCCTGCCCCGGCGCGCTGTTCAAACCCATCCTCCGAGATGAAGACACGACGAAACCGTTCTACGGCGTTCATCGTCCTGGTATGCTATTTGGCAACCCGGATGCTGCCGAGGAGACCGTAGAACGGATTATCGAGGCTGATGGAAGCGGAAATACCCTTGTTGTAATTGCTCATGATACCCATCTGAAGGACATCGTCCGGGAGTTCCCGGAATATGCAAATGATTTCTTGACCCGAGGTTGGGTCGAACAGGGCAGGTGGTTGTTCTTGGAGGATTTCAAGGAGGCAGTCGATGGAGTTCATAACGAGAAGCTGTAGCATTGTCGCAGAGAACCATCTCTGGATCTGTAGTCACGAGGAAAAGCAACATTCTTGAATTCAAAACTCAATTGGCTCCTCAACATTCTATCAAGACGGACAATTCGGGAACGTGAAATACCTGCGGGAAAGCTACACTCCTATGTTTAGTATGTTCCTCCCGAATGATGCCTGATTGAAGTTTACAGATTTTAATGAAAAACGTCGATGGGCTTCACATAGCCACACGAAAATTACAGTCTGTTGTCCGATTTTCTGTCCCAGATACCCTGGCCCTGGCGGATGACAGTTGCCTTCAACTCTTGAAGGTGTTTCTCATAGATACCACGAGGATTGGTTTGGTGCTTAATGCACAAGTGCGCCGCGGCAGCTGTTGCCAGAGCGTGGCATCCTCCATTGGCCATGAACTTGGCGTTGGATCCACCAATGTGCGTAGTGCTGATATGTTTCCCCGCCATCATCAAGTTCGAGATATTAGACGAATAGAGACACCGGAAAGGGATGTCGTAAGGCTTTTTATCCCGCTCATCCCATTCCCAGGCCTGCAGACGGAAGTCGTACTTTTTGTCGCCTGGGTAATGTAGACAAAAGGCGCCTGCATTCTGAACCACAGCGTCGGGGAAGACTTTGTGATCGCGGATATCGGTCTCTGTAAGAATGTAGTCTCCCTTGTACTTCTTGAACTCTCCCTGAGCAGCCACAAATGCTACCCAATCGAATTCCAGATTCGCGTAAGTCTCGGGCTCCATCTCTTTCACGTTGTGGAAAGTCCCGTAGATGGCGCGCAAGAGATGGTCCCGAATATGTTCACCATTAGTATATGGATCGAGCCATTGGCCGTACTCCCAGAAGTGGGTAAGAGGTCCCTTCATCTTCATATCCATGGCAGGATCGAGTACAAAATTCGGAGGCACAACAAGAGGTCCCGGGCCATTCTCAAGACCGGGCTTACTGAGCTGACCCCGAAGATCAGAGTAGTCTTTGGCGACCTCAGTGGCCCAAGGAACAGACGGAAAGGGGGCAAGTTTGTCGCCCATCCGAGTTCGAAAAAAGACTGTGTGTCCGTGATGCATCTCATCAGCTACTGTAGGCGCAAGGCTTTCGCCATACATCGCCTTGGACTCCTGACCAAAAAGGGTCTCTGCGCCAGTGCAGATACCAAGAATGGCTTTGCCAGAGCAATCAATGAAGACTGGAGCTGAAAGGCAAATCTCCTTTCCAGTGCGGGCATGTCGGGCCTTCACCGATGTTATCTGCGAACCGGTGAGGGCTGCATCGTAAACAGTGTATTCCATGAACGCTGTGGCGTTGGGTTCTGCATCAAGCAGCTGCTTCGCGACTAGGTCGCCGTCAAGGTCGCGATGAGAGAGCTCTTGGATGATGGAGTTGGTCATACCGCGTGGAGTGAGCCCGATCTCTACGCTGGCATTGCCGCCGAGGTAAGGACGGTCTTGAATAAGGGCAACACGATCCCCCATTCGTGCAGCTGTCAATGCGGCTGTACAGCCAGGTATGCCTCCTCCGACGACAACAACATCGAATGACCCTGCATTGTGAGGCTGATCAGGTATACCACGTAGTCGTCTCCGCCAGGCACGCGATGCTTCGTCTATTCCATTGGGCGGCGATGTGTCCTCCATGCTGAGAAAAATTGCATCGCAACGGCCGCAAAATCCCGTCAGATCGTGCAGCACCAGTCGCACGTCATCCCCTAGGAGATCTACTGTGCCAACATACTGCCAGTGCCAATCTTTGCCATTGACGCCGAATACTGTGTCAAGCGTGTTTCCGTTGATAGTCAGGGTAAATTGACCAGGATGATGAGCTGGAACCCAGTCCTTGGCGCGAACCCAAATATTGTAACGGCCCTTTTCCGCTGATATGGTAGTTGTTGCATCCGCGACTGGCTTGCCGTTACCGTGAGCGAGGAGATATGGCGATCCCATCTCCGAGTCGAATTGCGAGTCCAAGATCCAGCCACCAAAGTCACGGAACTCTTCCGCTTCCACCAGTACTCCTGAAGCAGGAAGTGACGCCATAATCGGTAATTGGTCAACAGACTTGAACGATCAATGATGAAGTAGAGGCCACAAGATAGGATAATTATTGCAATCCAAGAAACCAATGCTGTTACCTCGCATTTTATGAACATCCGGACAAACTTGAATAAAGAAGTTTAAGGTGCCCCAAGGTAAATGCTTGCTCCCTCGTCCTCGGACAACGATGAAGAAGAGTTGATAGTCTCGGCTCAACGGCCAATCGGATTCACCTGCAAGCTTTAAGAGGTTCGGTCCTATGCATCCGTAAGTTAGGTACTTGCTACATGGACGGTAGTGAGTGAGGGGTCCATACCATTCCGACACTTCCAGTAAAGCACACGTACGATACATGGCTACAGCACAGAGATCGATAATAACCAAGTACAACTTTAAACTTGTTCGAATCATTCGTCGCTTGAAACATCCCTCTACATGGGGTTGAACATCTTGGAACGGCGCTGACTCTGTCGTGTTGCTTGCCACCGACTAGACGTAAGGCTTTGTAGTTGGCGACGGATCTCATAGATAGAGACAGCATTTCGTAGAGGTCACAAAACTCAACAAAACATGCCTGGTCTGTAATGTAAACGGAAACGGAATCGGACTTGGGTCGATCCGTCGGGCATATTGACCGGATACAGACGCCGGGTCTGACGTAATTTCGGCTCCCACATCGGTTCCCACACCGCACGCTGTGTCGTTCGGCAGAGATTAGTCAAATGGCAATCTGGTCTGGAAAGCTTCAGTTCTACCGACGCTGGGAGACGCCTGAGTCTCACAAACTTCGGCTCGAGCCTCATTGAATATGAATACTAGGACAGTGCGAGACCGTGCCAACGTCGTATGCGTTGAGTGCCACTCTAGGAAGGTAAGTCGATTCACAGACATGCTCCCAGCCTGTAATACAAGCATTATCTGACTACCGAACAAAAAGGTTAGGTGCGACCTGCAAGAAAGCCCTCTTCACGGATGCGCAAACTGTCGCCGTGCCGGTGTTCAGTGCATGTGAGCCACTGTTGTTCCGTCATGACTCTTTCCGCAAGATTTCTGACATAAATCTCCGCTTCAGTCGTCGAGATGGCGTTCGAAAGAGCCGCAAGATGACGGCTCGGCAAAGACAGCTCATGCTGCTGAGATCGCCGACTGTGCCGGCCATGCCATCGCCCCCCAATCTTGGCACTGATAGAACGAGAGTTGAGCCGCGGATGTTGACTCCAGCTCGGTCTTCAGAGTTGAACACGCGGAACTACCAGCCGGAGGGATTCATCTCCCACGCCTCTGTCTTGTCGTACGACTCCGCCATAGAGCCGATGGCAGTTTACGATGGCCTTCCGCCACGAATTATGCAAGCCCGAGATGTCTTGGTCAAGGCCACTCAAGCGGACACCTTGCCAGCGCCATCATTGCGCAAGGCTTTGACGGACGCCTTCTTTGAATTTGCCTTTCCTTACTTTCCCGTCGTTGATGCGGATGACCTCTCGAGAGGAGAGTCGTCGATCCTTCTACAGCAAGCTGTGTGCCTCGTCGGCAGTCTTATGCGCCATGACCCCAGCAGTATGGCTTTGAGTTACTCACTCTACGAGAAGATTGAAACTTTGATACACGTCGAGTTCGAAAAAGACAACGTGTTCCTCCTCAAGACACTATGTCTCTTGTCATGTTGGGCCCCAGCCTCACCATATCTTGTCACGCTTCATGGGCCGTGGCATTGGACTGGTATGGCTGTGCGGTTAGCAGTGCAGATGGGAATCCACACGCAATCATCTTACAGAGAGAAAGATAACTCCGGGTCTTTACGGCGTATATTTTGGCATCTGATAGTACGTTTTTGCTGCCTTCGTCTAAGCATCACGCGCCTGCGCTTCTCGGTTCCCACCCTGCACTTAGCTCTTGGTGTTCTCGTTCCATGCACTGACATTTCAAAGAACAGTGAGACACTTATGGTCGCCTGCTGGGGCCGGCCTCGTTCGCTGAAGCTTGCAGACTGCGATGTTCAGCCACTTGCAGCTTCGGACTTCATAACACAAGGGGTATTCACAACGGTCTCTTTACAATTCACCGGACTCATGAACGTGATTGGTAAGTTGTCGGAGTTGAACACCAGAAACGGCGTACCAGTTGAATCCGAGGTCGAAACTGTCATTGCCTCGCTTTGCGAATGGAAGAGCGGCCTGCCGGACGTGTTGCGTCTCTACTATACAGACGGTACTCGGAGGACTTATCACCGTTATACTTCAGAGTTGCATATCCATTATTCGACGGCAATCATAATGGTGCAGATGCTTAGCAAGAGCCGTCATGCTCCGTGGCGGACGTCCCACGCCTCAGTTCTAGCGGCGACCTATGTTGCCGAGTTGTACGAGGAGATCCACTACAGAGAGGATGCTTCTCACTTGCTGAGCATTAATGGCTTCATGGCTCTAGTGGCCGCAATTGTGTTGGTATTCCACCGGCCAAACACGTTAGAGAAGGAAACGATTCGCAAGAATGGCATTGAAAGCATCTGTTCAGTGCTGCGCGTTATGAGCAAGAAGTATGGCGGCGCACGATCAGTGCTCCAGAGAATTCAGGGACTGCAAATCCAAGCTGAGCGGAGAGACGCATCTCTCAACAATCTCCAGAACGATACTTCATCGTCATCTGCGACATGGGTGGCAAGGAGCGTTAACGCGCATATCCATGAGTTACTCCCATTTCCGCTCAGTCTCGATGAAAACGTGAATATCTTGGACCCAGCAGAAGCTATCACAGATCGCTTGCCGGATGATCGAGTGGTCACTGCAACTACCGCACCTGTTGAGGATGTGTCGAATGATATTTTTTCGTTAATGGATATTCTAGAGATGGATTTCGATCCATTCGATAACACTACTAGCTTCGTGTGATATGATCACATCTTTTTCCATTGATCACTCACTTGAAATATCGGGGGTACTCCGAAATAGGCTCTAAGCATGAGCAGAAGGTCTTTGCCACTCCCGTGAAGGAACTTTGTAAAGAATGCCTCCGACTTGGGTTCAGTTGTGAATTGTCGACAATGACCCCAAAAGCTTTGAAGATGCTCATTCTTGTGCCAACAAGAAGGATTTCTGATGTCCCGCCTCGGTTGTAAGGATAGCGCCGAGTGCCGAAGCTTAAATGCGCCTCTACCGAAGTACATGATTGCCGACTGAAGTGGGAGGCCATTGACACTGTAATCTAATCATCTGGAGACAGGCACAAACGCCGCGCTAGATTAACAGAACCATATGACAAATCGACAAGACTCCGTCGGAATGATATGCAGCCGTTGCAGTATGATGGCGTAGGTAGGTATGCAGCGGGTGGCTATTCTGCTAGACTTATTCAAGCAAGTGTAGATTCTTCTCTTGATACAGTCGATTTGACTACAACGTCCGTTGTTTATAAAAGAGATCATCGTTCCACAACAGAATACGATAGAATTGTAGTTTGAGTTCGAACACCAGTATCTCTATAAACTTGTAAACGAAAGATCTTATCTTCGCTCCTACTCCTACCACAACTTTAAATCATGTCGAACCTGATCGTAGTCATTGGCGCAGCTGGTGGTCAGGGCGGAGGCGTCGTTGACGCCTTCCTCAAAGAACCAGGCTGGAAAGTCAGAGGCACCACTCGTAACACCTCGAGTGAGAAAGCAAAGGCTCTCGCCGCAAAGGGCGTCGAAGTTGTCTCTGCGAATCTCAACGATGAAGAGAGCCTCGAGAGAGCCTTCCACGGGGCCACGGCGATCTTCGCATTCACTGACTACTACGACACGTTCTTCGAACTCGGCGATGAGAAGTCCGTGGAGTTGGAGTTTGAACAGGGAAGAAGAATTGCCCGTGCGGCGGCGAAGACGGAGTCTCTTCAACGACTTGTGTTCAGCGCCGGGCCTCACACGAGCAAGATCACCAACGGGGAAGCTGTCTGCCCCCACCTCGAAGGCAAGGGGCGCATCGTCACGTATGTTACACAAGAGATGCCGGATCTTTCCGCCAAGACCACCTTCGCCGTGTTCACAGTCTTTGCGAACAACGCACTGCTCTATGATATCTTCAAGCCGATCTACGTGGTAAGTAAAGTATTTGAGTGCCCCAATAATCAGAGACATACTGACCAGGTTGAAGCCGAGCGCCAAAAAGTATGTCACCTTGTACCCAGTGCCACCCAACACGCCGTACCCATGTGTTGGAGATCCCGTCACCAATGGAGGCATTTTTGTTCGAAGACTGGTGAAGAGCCCTCCTCCTCCAGGATCCTTTGTCCGATGCAACGTTGAAACCTTGACTATGGAGTCTTATCTCGCCGCCTGGGGACGGGCCACTGGGCTCGCGCCTGAGGAGGGCTCAACCGCCGCCGTGCAGGTTTCTCCCCAAAGCTATGTTGAACTGTGGGGCGCCATGGCTCAAGAGCAGCTTTCGCAATGGCAATTCTTTCAATGGATTCAGGATCACTATCCCCCGACGTGGGAAGGAGTCACCATCGTTGAGGGGATGGATCTATTGACTGAGGAGGACAAGAAGGAACTTCTTAGCGTTGAGGAGTCTCTGAAGCGGTACGACTGGAGTGCGTTTGAGAAGAAGCCGACGGCCAAGGCTGTCACCGGCCGGTTCTCGACTTGAGGAAGTCAGGGTAGGGTTCCCGCAAGATCCCGGAAGTTGATTTGCCTTATTCAGTACCATGAAGCCGTGGCTAGCTCTTATCTGAATAATGTCTCAAGCGCATTTGTCTGTAGTGTAAATGGGACATTGTTTTGTAAAGCAACTGTAGGCTCACAATATGTTATGGAACACCTAAACTGGTATGGGCCACCGGAAGTGTGGACATTGAAGTCCATGTGCAGACACTTGGTGCGCTCAGCGTCATGCAGACCTTCACCCGGCAGATATCTGCCAGTGCCTCGTTTGTTTGTTTCTCAGTCGTCATTCTGCTCGCAAGGGTGGGACGAAAAGAGCTTGGGAAACTGCATAGTGATATTGGTGGTGCAGATTATCTAGGGGAACGAGTCGGTGCCTTTGAGTATTTGAAAAAATTGCAAGCCCCATAGTCTGAGGCATAAATTTATCAGGGTACCATAACTATTGCCATCGGCCTGAGAGTCTTTGAAACACTTGCTGGTCAAACTTGCTGTCATTTTTGGAGCTATTATCAAGTGGTCTATATGTAACAAACACAAGTCCACCTCAGCAGAGAGGTCGCGGCAAAGTCAAATATTGATCCAGGACCATCATCTAGTATATAGGTCAATGATAGGAGGTAAAAATATGGTCTTGCAACTCAGAGATTGCATCAAATTGCAAAAATGATTTCGCCCGGACTTGAACCGGAGACCTTCAGTGTGTTAGACTGACGTGATAACCAACTACACCACGAAACCTTGGAGACTAGAAGCGCCTTGAATGAGAAGAGAGCCTGAGGGGCTTTAAGTCCTTTTTGGCTAGGGCTCTCCTCCTTTTTCTTTCGCGTCTCCCTCTTTCTTTAGGTCCTCCCTTTTTCTCTCTTGTTTTCTTTTCTGACTTGTCGGCGTCGGTTTCTTGCCTCAATCCAAGGTAACATGATGTCTAAAGATTCAATTCGAGATTGCTTTGCGATTTGAAGTTGCAACACATTTTGCGCAATGTGAGAAGACGTTAATACTATTCAGGTTATCAGCAACGCGAGATCCCCGCTAGAGGGAGAAAAAACAAAAGTCTCTCGCCCCCGACATCCCCGCGCACCGCATGGCGCAAGATCCTGGAACCCAGTCAGGCGATGCGCCAGGCCAGTGATGGCGTGCAGTCACTCCACTGGTACGGCTTGGCTGTCGTTCGCTGGTTGAGAAATCATGCATTCTAGATTTCGTGGCGTCAAATTGTATCTCGTGCTATGATGCTTCGGAAGAAGAGTTATCTCATACCGTTTTCCATCAATCCCACCTTTACACCTGATCTTAACTAAAGAGCATGTCCAAAAAGCTTGATGCGCAAGCTAGCGCTAGCTTTGTATCGCAACCGAGGCAGCTTTCGAGTTCTCCGCCGGTTTTCCGATTGTCGGCCCGCAATGGAACGGGGCCGTTGTCCAGTTCAAGCTGGAGACCCCGGACAACCCAGAAGGCCGAAATCAGCGCACCTTGTCCTTCTCGGTTGCTGGGCCGGGCAACCTTTCTGGTCCAGCTTGGTGTGGTATGGTTTGGAAAGGTGAGCTGCTTTATGCAGTCTAGAGGATCACGCTACCCTAGCGCTTGTCAGGCTTGTCAAAGAGAAAATGAGATAGGAATTGTTGGAGATTTTGCATGACGGTGGAATTATCGACCGAGGTGGGGTGTCAATGTCCCGAAGAGTAACACTGCGTTTGAAGCTGTATGAAGCTGCTGCATTCATTGCATGAGTCTTCAAGGCCATGTATACTCGAGGGACTATCATTGTATTTGCTCCTTGTCCAGTGCTGACCGAAGATCGAACTCAATTCAAGATTCCCAAACTCTAAGCTGAGCTCTTTTAATTTCTTTATTGGTGAGACATTCGAGGCAAAGCTCTTCCAGTATTCTTCAGTCAGGGATCGCCAAACGAGGGGCAATTGCGGGGTAGCAGCTTGAGGCAGCACACGCGCACCACTTCCAGCGCAGCAAAGTTGAGAGAGCACCCGCAAAAACACCAAAGCTCCATCGCGGGGATATTACGGCGCATCGTCAAACCACCGGCCTCGTCCCACCCAACCTCCCCATCCAAATAGAAACCCGCCCCCAAAACGTCACAAGCCATCACCATCACACTCTTCTTTCTTCTCTTCTTTTCTTCTACTCTTTCGCCAGTTCGGATCGTCTTGTTCCACATCGTCTCTTCGGCAGCAAAGATACCCAATCCGCATTCGATCTCGAGCGAAACACACGTTCGCCCGCTATGGCCGGTCCCGTTCCCACCGCGAGCGCCCTCACCGACATCTACACAGACGATGCCCTCTCCATTCAGACCAAGCGCTGGTCGTCTCTGCTCTCACAGTTCGAGTCCGAGTACGGCCACCCGGCCTCTGTCGTCGCCCGCTCCCCCGGCCGCGTGAACATTATCGGCGAGCACATCGACTACTCCCTCTACTCCGTCCTCCCTATGGCAATCACCGCCGATGCCATCCTCGCCTTCTCCGTCACCGACACTCCCGCTGACTCCGACACCTTCACCCTCCGCGTCGCAAACGCCCAGTCCGACAAGTACCCCTCCCGCACCTTTGAAGTCCCCATCGGCGCCGATGTTCCTATCGACTCCAAGGTCCACGAGTGGTCCAACTACTTCAAGAGCGGCTTGAGTGGCGCCCTGGAGCTGCTGCGTCGGAAGCATGGCAAGGACTTCAGACCCAAGGGTATGAAGATCCTCATGGACGGTAACGTCCCCGTTGGCGGTGGTCTCAGCTCTAGTGCTGCTTTCGTTAGTGCCTCGGCATTGGCTGTCATGCTTGCCAACGGCGAGAAGACTGTTGACAAGACCGAGCTCACTGAGCTTGCCATCGTCAGTGAGCGCGCCGTTGGTGTCAACTCTGGCGGGTGAGTCGTCCCTTTTAACCCCTTCATTAACCCGTCTTCGATCTAACAACCAACCCATCCAGCATGGACCAGTCCGCCTCCGTCTTCTCCCAGCGCGGTTCTGCTCTCTTCGTGTCCTTCAGCCCCTGTCTGACCGCTCGCCCCGTCTTCTTCCCGACAACCAACCCGGAACTCTCCTTCCTCATCGCCCAGTCCTTCGTCACCTCCAACAAGCAGGTCACCGGCCCCATCCACTACAATCTCCGCGTCGTCGAGTGCAGCATGGCAGGCGCCTTCCTCAACGCAGCCCTCAACCCGGCCGGCACAAAGCTCCCCACCGACGCTTCTCCGCTCGGTATCTCTCTCCACGGCTTTCACGAAGCCTACTTCGCC